ACTGTTACCTGTTCGGCAGTTCCTGATGAGGTTTCTTGTCGTACCTTCTGGGACAGCAAAGTGACTTACTCGTAGATACCGTGAGCAATTTGGTCCGCGGGCAGGATAGACAGCCGCTCACCACCAAAGTCCGTCAGGTGGCGACTGATGGAGGACTTGCCAGACCCTGCAGGACCTGCGAGGCCAATTACGTAGGGTCGCCGCCTGTCGCCCTGACCAGAGGCGGCCTGGGATCTCGGTGGACGAATAAGGCGACCCAACAGTTGGAGTCGAGCAGTGGACGAGCTTACTTTCTCCTCAGGCCAGGCGGCGGGGCAATGGGGTTCCTTTGTGGGACCGCAACTACAAGCAAAAGATAAAAGGTTTGTGAAAATAAAGTCGATAAATGAGGCTAATGATGAATAATCGTAGACAGAAAACACCCAGTCCTATGAAACATTGGCCAAAACCATTAAATATACTTTTAAATTGCCTTTCGTAGATTATGTAGGAAAGAACGTGTCTGAATGCATTGCATTTAGGTTTTCTCAAAGTTTACTAAATTCAGCATACTTCGAACATAAGCAAGGTGCCATTGTTCGAAAGGCGTATAAATAATAAAACATATAATTCACTTGAAAGTAGATTCATACAACTTCTCAGGTTTATGTGACAGTAAAAATTGCAGGCTAATCCACGAGTGTTTACATGCGGACACACAGAGTATGACCTAGAACACTCACACTTCGCCCTTGGTGAATTGTATCTCTTCAATGTGCAGAGGAGGAAAGTTCTTTTCAGAACGTATTTGGTTGATCTTCTGACAGCCCTGTGAAAGATTAAAAAACGAAGAGTGTAAGCGGCAGGATATTATTTGTGCAAACAAACAGTCAAAATCCAGGGGACGATTTGGCGATCACGCACAAGTTTCAGATAATATATCCCCAGTTCAATGCAGTGTGGTTTGACTTGGGCCATTGACGAATCAAGGTGGTAAATAAAACGTTCGGCAAAGTGTTAAAAAGGTCCTCAAGTACTTGCCACCCCAAAAAGGCTATTTTAGAGGGAGAAATGAATGAACTGAGGCAAATGTTCGCATCCCAGGTATGTGTATAGAAGACGAAGGCGTTTCAATCACTGGAATCATAATTTTATCCTTCCGAGTTTTCAGGCTCTTGCGGGAGTCCATCGTCAGAGATAAACCATATGGTAAGAAATTGCTACTTAAATAGTTTGATTATTTTTCCATTGATTGCCGAGAGCTCTGTGAATGAAAATATACTTTATGAAAAGCATGCATAGAAATAGTCATTCTTGTACGCATTTCGCATCAAATCATACATATCCTAATTTGATAGTGGAATAAAGGTATACGTCGGTTTTCAAAAAATTTAAAAGTAGGAGATTCTTCAGCCGGCGCAGTAGCAATTAAAGTGACAGCTTACACGTTCGTTAGGAAGTACAAAAATGGTCTATATCCACTGTAAAATATTATGAACCACATACAGTACCCTCCTATTGGTACAGGGGAACGCATGGCTTTCTTTATGTGGAAAATATGCAGCTTGTAGCTGCAGACCGGACTCAAATTTATTCCATAATTTAAAAATTTCTGAAACCCTTTTTTTGAATATAAATTTGACAAGAGACGTCACTTTATAGCAAGAAGGTAGAAGAACGAATATCTTTTTGCACGTATTCTACGAATTACATTAAAAGTTATAGGGGCATAGAAAACCAATAAATCAACTAAAAAATCTTATCGATTTTGATTTTTGTAGGTGGCCCAAAAGGGGTGCATGCAAAAGCCGGCATCCTGGCGCACGACTTAAATATCTTGGAAGTAGGCTGCACAATAACCAATATTACAAACCCACTTAAGGAATGCTTCCTAATCAAAAACTCATTTCAGAAGTTCGGTTAAAATTTCAGATCGGACACAGACGGAGGCTTTGGCTCCACGGCTGGCAGTGACACAATCTCGTTGGCAACCAGTGCAAATTCTTAAATAGTTAATCGATAGGCGCCTAGTTATGCGCACCGCCAATAAGCCGAAGTACTATTCCCGAAGTAATAATCACACATGTGATTATACTACTCACAATGAGTGAGTAGTCGTGTGTGTTTCCTCTTTTCGACCAATCGACGGTTCCTCGCTTTTCGGCTGCAATAATGAGAACGACCACTTTTTGAATTTTTCTGCTGTATATATTCATTTTGTAGGTCCGGTATAACCAATGGGGACCTCAAAGGCGCTTGCCTATCTTCCCTTGAATAAAACTGAACTGAACGGACAAACCATGATAATATAAGGATAAGTAATAATAGGATGAATACCAGATCAATGAGTTAAAAGGTTGAGCAAGATGACTAATTTTCGACATCTACTTTAAGGTAATTTTTTAAAGAAATTAAAATGTAATCACTTTATGGGATAGAATGGCGAGGAAGGGTCGTGGTCCAAATTTACTTCTGACATAGGAGGTGCAGGGGACTCTATCATAAGAGAAGAGGTAGTTACAAGCCACTCCAATCTAATGTGGAGAAAACTTACCGACACTGACTCGGGACTGGCGATTATGCAAGTGAAGTCTGGATCGTTGATCGGAGGCCCAAAAGGATCCGTCAGACGTGCAAAGATAATCGGCTCCTCAGTAGTACCGTTGATATCCCGGAGGAAATCGGCCACGGCCCGACAGCGTTCATCATACGTCTCGATGAGTGGTGCAAGAACCTTCTTCTGAAGCATGCTGGTATCCGTTACGCCCACCAGGAGTTTCCGTTGAGCCACCAAGGCTGCAACACTCAGCAAGACGCGATGACCATTGTGCAACTGGTCAAAGGTTCCGCCAAGGCACACCGAGGACTGAGGGTGGACAGTCCCTTTGTCCGTCTTGGCACCATACTGGGAATCGCTGTCCGGGCCGAGATCTGTAGGGCAGGAGAGAGACCGCACGTACAGGGTTAGGCGAAATTAAACAATGCTACTATGTGAGCAGACAGGAAATCACGATCAGCTGGAGATTTTGTGGAGGAAAAGGTGATTGGGCAAAATAATTGTGAGTAAAATCGGGCTACTGAATATTTGGAAGTAGTGTTTTATTATTAACCTCTGACAAAGCAGTCTCACGATATCGTGTGAGAACCTACCAGACCAGGACTGGACTTTGGCCCCGACCACATTTCCCAGCTTACTCGCAACGTCGAGAGCAGGCGCGTTGTCAACTGCATCCGAATCGGTAATTACGACTTCAAACTTTCTGCTGGCCGTCACTTCAACTGGCGCGTGACGTGGAAGTAGGAGGCAAACGCTGGTGGAGGGACAGGCCTAGGGACTAAAATGTCATTAGAGCGAAGCGAACTTACGGTACTCGCCGTTGCATAGCAAACAGATATGAGTTCCTTCCAGGTTTGGAGGCAGGGCTCAGTGTAGAGCGGTGAAGGCAATTTGAGGTAGAGCTTGTTCGAGACGATAGTTGATGCCCGCACAAGGAGGGCACTCAAACGCTGGGCCGAGAAGGATTTTGAAAGGATACAAAGGCCATTCCCGTACACTGAAAAACAAAACAACAAAAAAGCAGTCATTTGACCCAATTGTGAAAAACTCGGCGGCCTCGGCGAATTTTGTTGGGAATGACTCCATTCCCAAGATTAGTCATATCACAGAAAGGTACCTGTGTGAGTCTACCACGACAGCGTGCACCTTGGTCGAGGCCACAGACGTGTCGTCAGATCTGATTGAATCATGTCTGTAATAATTTGTCCAACTCTTTCTCAGCAAGCGGATCAGGAAATACACGCCAATTATGTGAGGATATCTCGCTATTTGTGAATACAACTCTCTTCGTGGTCGATTGCCTTCTCTTCCTCTTCCCTGCTGGCGTTGGGAACAACAGTCGGCAAACCGAAAGTTCGCGTTAATTACAAGTGCCAGGCGCGGGTCATAACAAGTTTCGAACCACGACAACAAGGGGAGGGCTTAAGTACAGCCAATGCTCTAGCCACCACCGGCGGCCGTGACTCTAATCACACTGGGAACGAAGTTACCCGCCAAGTCTACTGTAACGAATGGAATTCACCAATTCTGATGCAGTACGCTGACTGCCCGAGCAGGATTTTTTAAGCAATCCATCTGGAATCCACCAGACGACCACCGGACGTACTTTATTCAATGTTATTTTGGCAGATTTCAGTAATTCCTTTGACCCAATTGTGAAAAAAATCAGCGTCCACAGTGAGATTCAAACCCACGACAGCAAGAAAAAGGCTTTAGTACAGCCAACACTCTTGTCACTTGAGCTGCTGCATGAGAATTTGTGGTTTTTATGTGTTGCAGTAGGCTGGGCAGATAACTTGACCCAAGCGTGATTAAACTCAGCGGGGCTTTCGTTGAGGCCTTCATCATAATGAAGAGGGCTAGAGAGTCGGCTGCTAAAAACCTCCATTAAAAACATAGTATACCGAGTCTCTCTGGTTGGCAGCACAGTTGAGTCTGCATATTCTCCTAAT